ATTGCCTTGCCCTCTTAGGTCTGTTCAGTCTGGTTTGAGCCAGAAATGCAGCCAGCCTGGGGCAGACCTGGCAGTATGGGATGGTGGGGGGTGGAGAACCCTCGTGTCCCACTCTGTCCCTCCTCCTTTCAGTGACAGAGGGGATGCTGCAGTCCCTGGCTGAGCTGCAACAAGCTGTTGTGCAGTGCCTGGTGAGTGACCCCAGTGTTGCCCACCTCTCACTTCCCAGAGGTCTTTCCCTTCTGCCAGGCAATAGCATCTGAGCTCCTGTTGTGCTCTGCTGTAGGCTGAAGGCCAAGGCAGCTGCTGCAGCATTGTGCACGTGGTGAGCTGTGAGGAGGAATTTCAGCAGCAGCAGATGGATCTGCTCTGGAGGATTTTGGATCCGGGAGCCCACACAGCTTTGCAGGTGAGCAGGCTCTGCCCCTTCTCACTGTGCCCCCAGCATCCTTGTGCTCAGGACTGGGTTTAGAGTAGGGCTGGATTTCACCCAGTTCTCCTGTACTGCATTTTGGTGGTGCCTCTGAGTCTTTGTTCCCAGCCCCAGACTCTCCTCTGTCTTTCAGAAACACCTTGTCTGTGGGCCAGTGAAGGTGACCAACCCCTCATCACCCATTGGGGCAGACCAGTACTTCCAGTAAGTTGGTGTGTAAAAAGGTGCCTGCTGCTCCCTCACCTGCCACGGCTGCCTGTGCTCTGCCTCGTCCTGTGGGCACCCAGACACCCACACTCATGGCTGAGTGAGCTGCTGGCACGTGGGGAATGCAGTGTGGTCCCTCCACCCTGCTTTCTGTGGCCTCAGGGCTGTCTCAAGAGGACCAGAGGTGCAGGGTGGAGGCTGCAGGGCCTTCCCCAATCCCAGTATCCTTCTCTAGCAGTGCTGCTTCTAGTCCTCAGCACTGCCAAGAGGAAAGGCAGTGGCACAGGGACCTGGGCTACAGTGTGGCTGTCCCTGCACGGCTCCTGGGGCTGTTGTACCAGTTTTGCTTGGCTGGGTCACTGCTGCAGCTGGGATGCCCTGAGGTGCTCCCTGGGGCTAGCTCAGCCCAGAGAGAGTGGCTCTGAGTGCCTGTGTTTCCCCCAGGCTCCGAAAGCGCCAGATGTACGAAGCCTCCGTGATGAAGTATGGGGAGCTTGCGGAAGGTAAGGGTTTGCTCTCTGGCTTCATGCATGGATGTTGCTCCATCTGCACTGCTGCCGTGAGTCCCCTCCTCACCTCTGAGTCTGCAGCCAGTGGGGGCTCACCCCTGCACGGTGCTCCCGTGGATGGAGCCACGTGCTGACCGTGCTTGGGGAAGGCATCTGAACACACAGGGCCCTGGCACAGAGCAGCACCTGCCGATGGGAGCGAGGGCCGGGGAAGTGTGGTGATCCCCAGCTTCCACTGGAGCACCTGGGCCCAGGGAGGGGTGTCCTGCCTGGGTACTGGAATGTTAGTACATAGGAATGGAGTGAGCTGTGCATGATGCCACCTGTGCTCTCCACAGATGAGGCCTGGACAGAGGTGATTGATACCTTGACAGTGGCTGCCATCAGGTTTGAGATGCTGAGTACTGCTCACCGGAGTCAGGTAGGACAGCGGCTTGCATGGAGCTGTGGGAATAGCAGAGCAGCTCTGCACTGAGCAGCCTGGACCGTGACTTCTCTCTGCCCTCAGATCACTCTGGACCTGGAAGACAGCAGCATCTCCACAAAGGGAACCAAGAGTGGAGCCTTTGTGATGTACAACTGTGCCCGACTGGCCACGCTCTTCGACACGTTCCAGCGGGCTGTGGAGCGGGGTGAGCACCAGCACCACCACTCTCTCACAGCCACTCCTGGAGCCACAGGGACTTCTCCAGGCATAACTCTCCCTCCTCCTTTCCAGGCACATACCCACCTCTGCCACCAGTGTCCAAACTGAACTTCTCCTGCCTCCGGGAAGAGGTGAGCGCTGAGAGGGAGAATGCAGGGACCTGTGCACCTTCAGCTTCAGTGATGGATGCTACTGGCCCAGGAGGATCTGGCCCTGAGACATGTTATCCCTTCACAGGGTGAATGGCTCCTACTCTTCAACTATCTCCTGCCCTTCCCTGAAGTCCTGCAGCATGCAGCACAGCTGCCCACACCTTCCAAGGGGATCCGGATCACAGCCAACACAGAGACAGTAAGTGCCATGTGCCATAGCACCTATGGCTGCTGCTCCAACAGTCCCAGCCCAGAGCATAACTACATGCCAGCAGGTGCTGCCCACTGGTGAGCAATGCAGGGCTGGTGCCAAGGGGAGACTGCAATACCCCTGGGGCTGTTCCTGCTGTGCTTTGGGTGGGGAAGGGCCCAAGACCAGACAGAACACACTGTGCCATCAGATCTTTGCCTTGCAGGTGTGCAAGTTCTTGATCCAGCTCAGCATGGACTTCAGCTCCTACTACAACCGGGTGCATGTCCTGGGGGTGAGTTGGGTGTCCCAGCCTGCAGTCCCTTGGGGCTGGACTGCAGTTGTGGGGGCAGCAGTATGATGCACCCCTGCCTCAGCCCCCAAGGGTGCAGAGGCAGCAGTGCCTGTCAAGGGGTAGTTTGGCCACCAGCCCCAAGCCACTGCCTTTCTCCCTGCAGGAGCCCTTCCCTCACCTCTTTGACCAGATGTTTGCCCGCCTCCGGCTGCTGGGAGCAGTGAGGGAAGTGTTCCACAGTGCCCTGGCAACCCTGAACCTCCCTCCTCTCAGCCAGATCTGAGCCACCCCTGAAGAGCTGTGCTATGGTGTGACAGACACCTGGACAACATGCTGTGAGGGGGAGGACAGGTTTCTCCCCAGCAGGGCCAGGGGCTGCCCCAGCACCAGGCAGGGCACACCTTCAGCCCCCTGCAGGCACTTCCCCTCCCATGGGCTGTGGTGTTTGAGGGCTTGGCCATGTACTGCAGATGGGCCCAGCGTGGGAGGTGATTGCACCTCTGTGTCCACACCAGCAGAAGGGAGAAAGGAGGGTGTTCACGGCACCCTGCCAGCTGGGCTGGGAGTACTGGGCGAGGTGGCACCAAGAACCAGTCACTACAAAGCCAGGCACCAGCTTCACTTCCCTCAAAGGTGTTTATTGAAGGTTGCTCCGTGCTGGCAGGGAGCTCCTGTGGCTCCAGGTTCCTCTCGGGCCCTGAGCCAGGCCCCAGTACTGGGTGGGGTCAAATACACTTGTTGCTGGACAAACCCGGTGTGTGTGTGTGAGACCTCATAGCTGTTTGTCCTTCCTTCCCTGTGCTCCTGCTGTCCTGGATCCTGCTGCTATGCAGGAACTGAAGAGGGGATGGCATGTGTGGGCAGCCACTCCACACCCCCCAGGGTGCTGCTGTGGAGGGTCAATGTCCCTGTGCATTTCACCACTATCCTCAGCAGTGCAGGATCAGGGCAGGTGAAGCTGCCAGGCACAGCCCTTAGTGCCCTTCCAAGCAGGTTCCTCTCTGAGACCAGGTTTGGAAAGCCTGGACACGGGTCCCTCACACCTTGGGGAGGAGCTTCTGGGCAGAGTGCTGACAACCCCACATCTTCACTGTGTGGAGAGCCACAGACTTGTCCAAGAGGGGTCACATCTGCCTTCTCCCCTAAGACCACTGGCCTTGAGCACCCCAGACATGGCTGTGTTGCCCCTGAAGGAGCCAAGCATGCCCATCCCCTCAGGAGAGCACATCAGTGTGCAGGCTGGGGGCAGGGGCCACATGATGGGCAGAGCCCAAGTGCAGGGTGCATTCCCAACACAGGGAATGGGACGTGTCACACACCTGCCCCATTACAGAGGAGCCTCTTGTGGAAGTGGTTCAGGGGGGGCTGTGCCACACAGCATCTCCAGGCCCTGCCCACAGAGCACACAGTAGTACTGCAGCTTCCCCCCAGCCTCTGCCACCTCCCAGCAGTCCAGCTCAGCCAGGTCAGGCACGTGGAAGAAGGTGGTGCTGAGGGGCACCAGCCCATCCAGGCCCCAGCGCCACAGCGTCAGGCGCTGGTCCACCGAGGCGGAGAGCAGCAGGTCTGGCCGCAGCACCCGGATCCCTGTCACATGAGCAGCATGGGCACAGGGCCTGGCCACCCGCTCCACAACCTGCAGGCAGGTCCGTGCTGCGTCCTCACCCCCACCCAGGGCCACCTTCAGCAGGCAGACATGGATGGAGCCATCGTCGCTGCCGCTGGCCACCAGATACTGTCCCTCCGGCATCTCTCGGACGTGGAGGCTGTTCACGCCGCAGCTGTGGGCCATGATGGTGAGCAGAGGGGTGCCCAGGGCTGGGAAAACAGGCTCAGTCAGGGGAGCAATGCTCACCTGGAGCAGAGGAGCCACCAGCATGGTCTGTCTCCCTTGGGAGGCCAAGGAGAGCTGCTGGCAGTAGCACTCACCCAGGGGCTGCATCTCTCCCTCTGCTCGGTGCAGAGCGTCTGCTGCGTCTGCGATGGGGCTGGTGATGTCCCAGAAAGCGACACTGCCATCCGTGGCTGCGCTGCAGAGGAGGTGCCTCCTAGAAGGGAGGGGTTGGGAGAGCCTCTGGCCACAGCCTTGAGGGTTCCCACTGAGATCCATGGAAGTGGCAGAACAGCCCATGTGGACTGACTTCTCCCTTCCCTGCCCCTGTGAGCTGCCATCCCTGCAAGAACAAACGCTTCTCCTCAGAGCACATTGGCTGCAGCCCACTATTCAGGGCTCACCTCTCCCCTCCTGCCTGTGTGTGCAGGAACGCCTCGACCTTCAGCACACAGCGTTGGTGGTGAAATGACTCTGCAACCAGCACCAACTTCCGAGCAGCCTCCAGCAGCCCAAAGACCCTGTGATGAAACAGAGAGCAGCTGGCCATGGGAGAAGGGAGCTCCTCTGCCCCAACTTCTGCTATGCACCATCCTGTTCCCAGTTCAGAGCAGGCCACATCCATTGGCAGCAGCCCTTGTGGAGCCCACTCTGCTCCCACTGCCAGCTCCATTCTCCCTGCCAAGGCCCCATCACAGCTCCTCACCGGACTGATCCATCGCTGCAGGCAGCAGCCAGAAACTTCCAGGGTGTTGGCAACTGCTCGGTGCTGGTCCCAGGCACAACTGAGAGGGACATGTACCTGCAGCAAAGACATGATGCTCACCAATGTCTCAGTGACACCTGTAGCCCCAAGGAGGCAGATGGCCCAGGAGAGCAGCCCAAGCCCAGTGCTGGACACAGCGTACATGCATGAAGGCACACTGGCCCTGTCTACTTCAACTGAGCCTGCAGCTGCACGCAGCAGATATCCCAGTGGAGGCCAATGCAGTTCTCAGCACCCTCCCAGGCTCTGGCCACTACTAACCCTGCCTTGGGCAGTCCCTGAGCATCACCTCGTCTCTGGGTCCATCTTGACGAGCTTGTGCCTGTTCTTCTTCCGTTCCCAGTGTTCGTCCAGTCGGTGGGAAGCCACGTGGATGACCTGGCAGGCCACAGCACTCTCAGACTCTGTGTCCCCAGCACACAGCAGCTGGTAGCACTCAATCTGTGCCCGGCCACCCGCAGAGAACAGCAGGGCAGATAAGCCCTTGTCACCGAATCCCTCGAATCCAGGTCCTGTGGGATTGGCCAGTGCCAGTGTCCTCACACTGGAGATGTGGTCACTGAGGCGGGCGAGGGGCACAGCTGCCCGAGAGTGCTCACTGAGTGCCAGGACACAGGCTGTGGTGTCCTCACTGCCGGTGACAAAGACGTTAAGGGCAGTGTGGCCAGGCACCTCCAGGGCCCCCAGGCGCCGCACACAGGTGATCTCCCGCCCCTGCAGGGATGCCAGCAGCACCTGCTGCTCGCAGGGCTCGGCCTCGCGGCAGTACAGCATCACATCCCCAGACTTGATGAAGGCGAAGACATCGGCCGAGGGGCTGCTGCAGTAGCTCCAGGAGCGGTGTCCACCCCCACAGGGGATGCAGTGGAGGTTCCCTCCTGTCCTGCTGCTCCACACCACGAAGCTGTCAGCATGAAAGCCCAGCACGAGCAGGTCCCCACCCGGGGTGAAGCACAGCTCCTCAATCCACTGCAGCCCTTTGCACGGCCTGTCCTTGCGCAGGACCTCCAGCTGCTGGCCCTGCAGGTGGAGCTGGCGGTAGACGCCGTCCCGGCCCGTGCTGTAAATGTAGTCCCTGTGGCAGGTCACTGAGGTAACCCCTGTTTTCCCATGGAGCCCAAAAAGCATGGACA